ACGAATACTTCACGTGTATTTATTGAGTGAATTATTATTTCGTACGTTCGGTATTTACAGCATGAATTCTTCATTTTTTTGCTCGCTGTAATGTCTCTCTGTTATGCCCACTGAATAAGAAACCAACCATCTAAACGTAGATGTATATTTGATATTTTCGTCAGGCGGTTAATCTCAACAATAGGATTGAGCACATTTCGTATTTGAAAAAATCACTTTACCGAAACCCATGAATAGATCAATCGTTCCATCCTCTCGTTGAACTACACTATTTCAAACAAAATAAACTGTTCATAGTAGATTTATGTTACCTGCGCAAAGATAGTTCTCTGTTGAAATATCATTTATTGTATTTGAGAACGTCGCTACATTATTTTTTAAGTGTCTTTCAAAACAGAAACACCCGAACTTGATTGCCATGAGTATTGTAACTCCAATTGATTTCTCGAACACTGTTTGATGATGCATCACTTTTAACTATTAAAAAATTTTTAAAATTTACCAAGTAACAAGTTTTTCATACAAGGCAATAAAAGCACGTGAAAAAACGTCTGGCTGAGTGAACAAGGCCTATCGCTGAAGACGATTTGCAGTATGAGTTGAAATGCCATATTAGGAAGCGATTACTGCTGACAAAGGCTAGTGATCTGTAAGTATCATGAAACTCCAACAGTACAGAAACGTGTGAAAACGGCGAGCAGAAAAACACAATGGCACGAGCCTCTTTCTCTGTCTGGCTGAACCTCTTTTCTTCTATGGTTAGTGAACGGGATGTCTTTATAACTGTTTTTTCTGAAATTACATCACCTTGGCCATTTACTGAAGCGTCTGATTCTACGATTAATGGAATGCCTGGATCGTTGTGTGATATTATTCATTCCGAGCTTCTTAAAGACTTGAGTTAACCAGAAGCCACGTCACACTCCTTACTCCTATTCCAAGTGTTGTGCTTCTGCAATAGTGAGATCAATGTAGCGCGAATATCATGAATCAAGTGAAAAAACGCCTAATCCTAACTCATTATTTGGAGAGAAGATAATAATTCTGAGACACTAGTGTGGATGAGCAGTTTGATAGCTCGGATTTTCTAAAGATCCGGTCTGCGGCCGTAATGATAGTTACCTGCTCTTTTGATGTTTCGTCTACTATCACTTGCTTGCAGATTTTCAGAAACTTTATCGACTTCTGCATGCAATTAAACATCAGCTGGATCGACGTTTGTGGAAAATGTTCTTTCCCATTCAGGATAGTGAATTGATCTACTGGCACTTGTAGAGGATAATGATGTTGTTCCGGAGCTGCGTTGAGACCGTCGAAAATGGCAGCACCCAAACGAATATGTATTGTGCCGTCTGCCTTCTCAGTACCAACTATAGGTGCTGCACGAGTAGAGTAAGAAACGGGAGTACTAAGTCCTTGTATTTGAAGGCGAATCAATTCTTCGTCCACTGTTGTCAGTTTTGCATAATTCAAATACGTTTCTGGACGAGGAACATGCTTATCCCCAGGGTTAAATCAAGGTGCTGCATTCACGGTAGTACACTGACCTAATGCACGTGGAAAAATGGTTGAATACTGTGTCATTAGATTCCTCGTATATGCTTCAGCGTCATGTGGCCGTCTAAAGCGGTGGCATATGGTATTCGATGAGAAGAAGATATTAGAAGATATTAGACTCAATGGAGTGTTACCAGAACTAGGAACAGGTATCTTGGCACTTCCGGATCAGTTCGGCTGTTAGTAATCTCTCTTTTTCAGAGCGGTTAATAAATGTAGTTCCGATGTAGATGAATTTATTTGTGCACTTGACAAAATAACGACGAAGCATCATATTCCAAGTATGATGATATACAAAATTAGCTTGAAGTCAAACAAAGCTATTCGGTCGCCAAAATGTTGCCATAAACGAACAAACGGATCATCTGAACTAGTTTGTTATTTTAAATAACAGTTCTTCTGAATCGCAGAGTTTACTACTCAGACTGGGATTATACTTTTATCAACAATATATCGAAGTGTTTATTCATTAGTGGAAGTTGTCATTTAATAATCTCCTTGCTATAATCTGATTGCTTGCGCTCCTGTTCCCTTCAACTTAGTTTCGGATGACCGATTTGATGAATGAATCTCGATTAAATGCAGGCTATTCCCAATAAATACCTTTCAATATGACTTGAATGTTTTAGGCTGGAAAAGCGCTGACGTGTACCAGAATACGAGAAATCATGAACGTGTGACTCGGATAGCCCCTAGGTGCATCTATATCAGATAATTTACAATAGATGCATAGATTTTGATGGAGGTTGAGCGCAAGGTAAGATGTTTCATGAGGACATATTTTTGCTAGTGATAGATTGACTGTAGATATATGAACTGTCTAGCCTGTAATCGAAAAAACTGAGAGAATTCCCATTTAAGAACACATTATTGCAGCATACGTTCAGTCATCCCTCTAAATATGACAATTTTCAACAAAAATGAACCCGCCACAAGTGATATTTATCTGCGCGAAAGATTTTTTGTGCTATAGTATCTGCTTCTGAATTCCAACCTTTCGCTACATTCATTTTCCAAACGTCTCACAACGCAAAAAGAACCGAGTTTGATCACAATGTATATTAGAACTACAATTATTTGTCAAACATTGTTCGGTAAAGCATCATGTCTGACAAGTGAACAATATTCCAAGTTGACAAAGTGATTATTAATCAGTGAACATTGCAATAAGTTGGTTATACAATGGAGGTTAAGCGTTATTTGGAATGTTACATTTCCCCATGATGAATTAGCTGTAGATGGATAAACTATTTACCTGTACTCAGAGGAACTAAGAGAATTATGTATGTTCCAGTAAATTTGGTGTTGTAACGCTTGCTTAGATAATTCCCGGCTAAATCCTATTGCTTAGTATTATCTGACCACAGTACACTAGACAAGTTCCAAAGAAAACACGGTTGAACAGTAAAAGATTATATTCCAAATAGATAGGTTAGATGGAAATAAAAAGCCAATAGTGATGGCGAAGGCAAAGAAGGCGAAGGCGAAAATAGATAAAACGTTAGTCTATTTATAGCATTTTACAGGAGAAAGCTTCTGAGAGAAAATTGACGTGATCGACTGGATTAGATTTAACCAATCAGCAAGCAGCTATCAATAAGAGAATTTTCTATCCTGTTCTCCAAAAGTCGATCGGGCGCTTATTGGATTGGAAATTAGCCAATCAGCGCGCAGAAACGTAGTCGTGCTTTACTTCCATCTGTGTCCCACTAACGTTGGGTAAATTTGAAATACTGTTTTGTTATTTGTAGCAATTATTTGATCGTGAGCACAATGAAAATTGAGGAGATATCGACTTATGTTTTCAGTAAATTGATTGATATCACTAACGAGGTCTCATTGAAATCTTTCCATTACCGTGACATTAACCATATTCCCTATTAGTTGAGCTACATTAAAATCTTCAGAGTATCAATTATATCCCATTTTAATTTTAAATTGAATAGTTATATGTTGTTCATCACCCTAAAACCTAAAATTTCCTGTAGATTGCTAGCAATCATTTATGCTTATAACAAACAGTTTAACTACACGTAAGGATGGTTCAAATTGACAAATATGCAGTACACATTTAAAATCATCATTCTACCATTGTAAGACCACCATTTGAAACTTGGAAGTACTGGACGGCGGATTTTTTCCTGGTATGGGACTTGTCAGCAGTCGGCAAACACGACCCTGGCAACGCGTGGTTTGTGCGTGAACACCTAAGCATCGGACCACTAGGCCGGCATCCAACAGTGGATGGTGGCGTGACCCATGCCAGAACGAAATGTTCGACCGGTGCTTCCAGGTTTTACCGATGGTCTAACAGTGATTGAATAATGATTTCAAAAGTGTAAAAACGCAAGCCTCAATTACTATCCAGTAAATTAACGAGCATCAGAATTTTTTTTGTGCTCCAAATGAAATAGTAGTTCAGTACACACCGAAAATGTTGCGATTTTATCCGAGTGTGAGAAACAATCTTTTCCTACACAATGCTAATGATGAACTGTTGTACTTTCTGATACTAGTCTTCATACTATTATTTTGTGACGCTCATTGTAACAGACTGGTGTGTCTTCTAATATACGACTTTTACCACAAATAGTGAACAAAAACGTCCATAACAATCTAAAACTTTCAGCTAATGAATCACTGAAAGAAGTCGTAATATTACCAAATGATTAGTATTTTTAAGGAAATTAATTCTCTTTCCTTTTGGAATAAAAATCATTCTTAGTATTAGCCCTCATGGGCAAGCAAGTCTATATTAGTGTAATTTTGAAGCATTTTTCATTTCATAGATTTTCTCACCTCTTTACACATATATGATAACTATTGATGCAAGCAGCAGAATCAAGTTATGGTCGAAGTAACGTTGTAGCATATCAATTTTACCAGACAACTACTTCAAAATC